TTCGAGGCGTCCCCGCGTCGTCGAGACGCGGAGCTTTCGGCCTGCTGCACCGTGGCAGTCTCGAGAAGGCCCCGGAGTTCGCCGTGGACTCGTCGCCCCTCCCTGGTAGAGGGCTCGGGCATCGCTCGGACCAGTATTGCCGCCGTAGCGACGTTCTGGCTAGCGCGATTGAAGACAGGGGGTTGCTCGCCCCCTCATCATCGTTAATGCGGCGGTTGACGTCGTGAGCCCCCAGCCGGGCCGTTCCACCATCGCCACGCCCCCGCTGCTCTTGCTTGAGGGTGGCTCAGAGCTGCTGCAGGAGGAGTCGATCTTGCTCGACCTTGGCTTGAAGCTCACGGAGCTGCTCTAGGTCTATGCGTCGAAGTTGCTCGGGGGTGGGGACACCTGCCGCCGCTGGCGGGGACCCCGTGCGTGGTGGCATGGCGTTGGCTGCCCTTCCTCCATCGTTGCCCGTGCTCGGCATTCCGAGTCCGATGTGGAAACACTCACGAGTCGGGTCGTAAGCGTCCTCGTCGTCGGAATCGGAGTAGCCGAAGCAGTAGCCGCTCGCGATCATGAAGCGGCGCATCGCCTCAGGGCCGCGAATCCCGGAGAAGTCTGCTCCAACCCACGCCTCGTCCTCCTCCGAGGAGTCAGAGTGGGGGTGGATTGGAGTTGTGACTATGGGGTTATGGGCATGACGTTGATGAATGGAGATGAGGGCGGTGGCGTAGGAGGCGGCGACATTGGTCAGCCCGAAAGGGTACGGGGATGGCGCCGTCGCCAGGCTCTGCTCCGCTAGAGCTGGCTCCTCGGGAGGAGGCGGGACAAAGCTTGATGATGGGGCGTCGCTGTGGGCCACCGGCCCTTTTCCCCTGTCGAGTCTTAAGCCGGATAGGTCCCCGTGCAGGGACTCTGTGCCAGCAGCGGGGTATGGGATTCCGGTGGAGCACAGATCGGCGTTCTGTATTTGCATGGTGTTAGGGTGGACTCGCCCGCGCGGCGCTTGGCGAGCTTGATGGGAGCGGCGGCCCGGGCGCCGTCCGTCGCGCGTGGGCTGCCGGTGCATGGCGTCGTCGTCGGTTGATGGCGCTACGGGTGAGAGGAGTACCATGTCGCATTTCGTGCCCTAGAGACATGAATTCTAGGCTCCCGAACAGACGATCGTCCCGAGACATAACGATCGCACGGGATCTCGCCATCCGAATCTGGTGGGATGACTAAGGCCGACACGCAGAGGCCCCTACCGGGCGTGTTAAGCTGTCGGCGTTTGAACCGGGGTCCTTAACCGACTAGTGAATTTGTGCTGCGTGCTCCAGTTTTGGATGGTGATGCAAAAAGACACAAGGTTTATATCTTGGTTCGGGCAATGGATGCCCTACGCCCGATCCCGAGAAGATGTTCTTGTATTCCTTGCACCGGGTGCTCATAGTAGGGGTTACAAAGTTTGGGCGAGAGAGGGAGTTCGTCCCGGATCTGCGTGAGGGGAGGTGATATGAATTCTGAGAATGAGGCGTGTTGTTCGATGCAGTATTCGTGACTCTATCTGCCGTCCTCGAAGCGGTCTGGCTGCCTCCTTTTATAGCCTTGAGGAGGAAACCAGGAGTACATAAAGAGAGCTACACGTGGAGCAAGGACTATTCGATGACGTATTTACTCCCGGGGCAGCATGGCGTTGTCGTGGGAGTTCCGTAGATGTCTAATCGGTATGGTCTCCATCGCAAGTAACATCTTTGCGCATTTGTTGACTTGGTGGATTGCGAGAGAGGCTCGGCGGCCATCGTAGCCGGTCGTGCGAGGCCTGCGCGTGCCGAGGCCTGTCGTGCCGGGCCTGTTGTGTTAGCCGAGGCCTGCCGTGCCGAGGCCTGAGAAGTGACCCAGGTGCAGATGCAGGTCTCAGCGGCCATCAGGCGGAATAGTGCGAGACGTGCGCCTACAGGATATGGTACCTGTATTGTCACTAAGGGATGTTAGAAAAGGTGATCTGACCGTTGTCCCGTCGCTCCTGTTGTAGCGCACTGCCGATCGTGGCTTACGTAGCGGGTGCAGCTGAGCGCATTAATCGGATGCGACAGCCTGCCAGAGAGACCTTTGAGGCGGAGGCGACGAGGTTGCGGGACGAGCCCGACCTCGGGTGAGGCGGAGCGTGGCCAATTCGTCCGAGGCCCTACCGGGGGGTCTCGGGCGGTGGACGGGCGAGGCGGAGTAAGATCAGTGAATCCGAGGCCCTGTCGAGGGGGCTCGGGAGAGACGGAGCGGTCGGTCCGCTATTCTGAGGCTACAGGAACCCGTTCTGACTCCCCACGTTGCGATGTCCTTGGTGCAGGAGTTAGGCAGCACAGTGGTCGGTAACCCCTGCTCTGTGCCGTCGCAGATGGCAGGAGGTTGACGCGACTGGCGTGTAGTCGGTCACTTCGATGTACTGTGCCGTCGTGCGTCTGCCGGAGTGGTTGGGCGCTTGGATGCGACGTTCGGTCAGAGCAGTTTGGTCGAAGAGGCGGTCACGGGGCTGGTGCCGAGCCGACCTCGCGCGAATCAGAGAATCGGCACTTCTTCCGCTGGGGCTCGGCGACGGGCTCTCGGGCGAATCGGAGATTTCGGCCAATACCTCGTTTGTTTATTCCGTTGGTTCTGTTTTTAGGGTCTAAGCAGTTTTTCGATCTTTGCTTGGGGTACCCCATTTTCTGGTATCCGACAATAAGAAGGGAACAAAGTATCGTTTATGTACTATTTCCTTTTTTTATTAGATAGACGATGTATTTCTAGTTCCTAGAGCATCAAAAGATTGTAATACTAACATCGATGCATTTCTAAATATTTCAAGGAAAAGAAATTAACTAAAATGTAATTTGAAAACTAAATCTATAATTTAATAATGGGGAGGCTTTTATAAGAAGAGAATGCATTGTCCAAAAGAAAGGATTTTAAATAATTCGTTGTGCATGGAATTGGAAATTTAAGGAAAACTCTTGGTGCCGCAAATAAATCCCAGCAAAAAACACTCAAGCATTCAAGTAGGCATTCAAACATTCAAGCACTCAAACAATTCCAACAATCTAATCTAAATGCATATGGTGGGTTTTGATGCAAGGGTTTTCGGAAAACATTTTCTTTTTAAAAAGGGTTTCGCGGGAAAATAAACTAATCACGTTTTAATTGTTGTAAAGTTTTTAAAAAGTTCAAAATTTTAGTGGTTTTTAATATGATGCAAAAACACGGGTGTTACAACTATGATGAAACATTTAGCCCTGTGGTCAAGCCCACCACTATTCGCATGTATTATGCCTCGCTATTTCTAGTGATTGGCCTATTCATCAATTAGACATTAAAAATGCATTCCTGCATGGTACTATCAATGAACTGTTTACTGCCAGCAACCCCCCTGGCTTTGTTGATCTGGTTCGTCCTGGTTATGTCTGCAAGCTCAACAAAGCTCTCTATAGCCTCAAGAAGGCCCCACAGGCTTGGTTCATCACATCCATTGCATTCTGAACTTCTCAATGTGACACCTCGCTCTTCATCTTCACTCATGGGATGGATGTGGCCAACCTTTTCTTATATGTGGATGACATCATACTACCTGCTTCATCGTAGCCTCTTCTTTTTTTGGGAATCATCATAGCCTCTTCTTCAATGCATTATTGGCTCCATGCGGCAAGAATTTGCCATGACTAACATTGGTGATATCCATTACTTCTTGGGAGTTTCTGCACAATATTCATCATTCCTCTCTCAAGCCAAATATGCAGCTGAAATCTTGGACAAAGACAACATGTCATCATGCAATCCATCGGCAACTCCACTTGAGTCCGTTCCAAGCTGTATGCCCAAGATGGACCACCAGTTGCTGATCCTACTCTATATCGCAGTCTCGTAGGTGCCTAGCAATACTTGAATATCACATGCTCAGATATTGCTCATGCAGTTCAAAAAGATTGCTTGCATATGCATGATCCTTTGTGTGTCCCACTTTGCTCGCATCAAACGGATTCTGCGGTATATCAAAAGCACCATGGAGTATGGTCTCTCTCTCTCTCTCTCTCTCTCTCTCTCTCTCTCTCTCTCTCCTTGCAGCCGGTCACATGACTTGGTAGTCTACTCAGATGCCGATTGGGCAGGCTTCTCGGGCACGTGTTTCTTGGCGATAATCTTATATCTTGGTCTTCCAAGCGCCAACACACAGTCTCACGATTGAGTGCTAAAGCAAAATATACGGGAGTTGCAAATGCTATGGCCGAGGCTTGCTGGATTCGCCAATTCTTGAGAGAACTTCTTCGCACCTTAACACATGATGTCACTCTTATATATTGTGACAACATCAGTGCCATGTATTTGTCAACAAACCCTGTTCATCACCAAAGGACCAAACATGTGGAGATTGATCTATATTTTGTTCGAGAGCGCATGGCCGTTGGTGTTGTCTCGATTCTTCATGTTCCTACATCACTTCAGTATGCAGATATATTCACTAAAGGACTACCAACTATTGTATTTACCAATTTTTGGTCCAGTCTCAACGTTCGTTCCTCTCCTGGTTGACACAGCGGGAGGGTATTAGAATATGAAAATATCTGCACGCTTAGTAAAATATTTGCACGCTTAGTCATGTACTTTGTAACCTATATACACTTGTTCAATGAATAGAAACTCACGATCGGTATCCTCCCAGTCTTGTGTTCTCACAAGTGCAACGCACTTTCCTTAGCAAAAGAAAATTGTTGTTTGGCCAAGCAAATGATAGTGTTCAAGGCTTAAAAGAGGAGAGGGTAGAGTTGGTTAATTTTACACTTCATGTCTCTTTGAAAAGTAAACAAATAGCTAGCACTCCTAGCTGTAGGAAATGCAATTACTACTGCATGCACATTGTAACTATTTTGAAGAGGTTGTGGAGGGGATAGTATCATGTCATCACATTTCACTAGTAGTTTGCAATAAAATCACTGTTTAACAAAATATCTGCACAGATCTGAAATTAGTACATTTAACTTCTATGATTACATTGGATAGAGTTCATGTCATCAGAAAGGCACTGTATGGCGCTTCCTCCCTGATAAACTATGTCCTTGAGGCATATCTTGAGTGCAATTTGGGACAAAGTGAATAAATGAAGTATGAGGGGGTAACCTGGATTCCCATGTCAATAGACCAAATTCTCCTTTGGGCCTAACAGAAGGATCTAGCAGTAGTTCTCCAAACGCCACCTTTGGTAATTCTGTTTTGGTTAGAGCGCTACTAGTACAAGGTAAGACGCGAAGGGGATTAATAACAGGACTCAAAACGAAGTCCGTGAGGTCCACCTCACGGCCTTGCTCAAAAAGTAGATTTGGGCGCTGCCCATAAGCGATGAGGTTCTTCTCAATCACTTTTCTGCACTTGTTCAATATCGAAAGCCAGAATTGAGCATTCAGGTTGCTTCTCAACACGTCAGCCAATGCATTTGCTGTAACAAGTGATCCACCCTGATGCAATTCCTTGGCAAATCCTTCTGCTATATGTACTAGTCTTGGATGCTCTGCCGGGTCCGCACTTCCAAATGCTAGGTTCTTGAAGAGGTACCAAAACTCCTCATATGACAGACCATCAAGAAAAATTGGTCTCACTGACCCAAACCTTGCTAATCTTCCAAGCTTGCTTATGATGATCACCTTGTTTCTTGTACTAGTTGCTCTTGTCACAAATGAATAAACTCATTCCATTTCACGTCAACATCTGAAACAAACTCAACTACTACAAGTGACGACATCCCCACCAGGGCCTTTTCGTGGTCGACGATATTCAGGAAGTTGTCACCGTTTAGATGCAGAATCGAAGCGAATTTGGAGCGTACCCTCTCGTCAGCACATACATGGGCGACCAAAGTCTTCTTCCCAGCTGCAAGAGCACCGATACTTGGCAGAACTGGAGGTGGTGCATGGTCATCTGATGGGTTAGGCTGCAGTAAGAAGTTGAGGAGCTTTTGCTTTTCTGCATGTCGACCAAACATGAAATTGCCGATGTAAAGATATGCATCGTAGGGCCTACGGGACAAGCGCTCATCACACCCACACAGAAGCACAACGAACTCTGATATGTTCGCCACAGCTGTTTCCAGATTCTCCAATGTGGCATGTACCTTGTCCTTTTTCACCGAAGCAAGAACTGTGCGGGGACATTTGAGACGAGTGGAGGAACAGAAGGAGATTGATGAGTCGCTAACTTCGTGCTGGGGCTGAAATCTCAAGGTATCCAGCGCATGGTAGCCCTGATACATGGCCTCCGACAGTATCTTGAGCTGCATCAGCATCCCAGAGTTGCTGATGTATCGCGCATCTGCCTCCTCAACGACGGTCTGAGAGCCCTCATCAGGAGATGCCCCAGCCTCTCCCGCTTCGCCTCCCATCCTTCATCTTCATAGCTGGAGCTGGAGCTGGAGCAGTATCTGTTAAAGGCGAAGGAGATGAATCGGCTGATGAGTTCACCTGCAACCGCAGCTATGGCAGATTCCATCGACTGCATAGAGGATTGAATAATGGACAGTTAACAACTTCTCCCCTCTCTTTATGACAAGGACGTGCTAACTACTCACTACTAACCAGATGTGTCCTAGCATTTGAGCGTGCTATATACCCGGCTGAATACAAATGCATGCTGCCAGTCATTTCTTCTGAACGACTCAACCTCAATGGAGGTAGCTCTATCTGCCATTTCTGGCGAAATACTCAGCCGATTCATCTCCTTCATAATCAAGAAACACACCGACAGGTCATGTGTGGAAGAGAAGCTAGAAAGGCTTGAGCATCTCCTGCTGAGAGTCCATATTGTGGTCGAGGAGGCCGAGGGACGATACCTCACCAATTCCAAGATGCTGGTGCAGCGCGCTCAGGATGCTTGTTGATGGCATGTACCAAGGCTACTATGTGCTCAACACCTTCAGGTTGAAGCCTGCTGAGGAATCCCCACTCCAAAACCAGGTGACACAATCATCTGCCTTGTCAGCTCCTCTTAAGCGCACTCGTGCAGCAGCTTCTAGCGTCAGGACTAACAAGGCTTCCAACCATGAGCTACAAGCTTCTCTGAGAAAATTGGAAACCGTTGTTGCAAATATGACAGAGTTTGTCATTCTACTGGGTGGATGCAAGCAGATGCATAAAAGTCCCTATGACACCTACATCTACATTGACAATTTCATGTTCAGTCGCGTCGTGGAGAAGCAGGAGCTGATCAACGCCCTGTTGCAAGACAACTCTCCTGTAGGTGTTCCAGCTGTTGTACCAGTAATTGGTGCATACAGAGCCGGGAAGAAAAGCTTAGTTGGGTATGTTTGCAATGATAATATGGTTCGCTCTCACTTCTCCTCAGGTTTGCACTTGAAAAGCAGTAACTTTCTGAATGTAAGCCGTGAAACATTCATACCTGTAAGGACTTTAGTTGTTGTTGAGTTTATTTCAGATGTGGATGACGGTGAATGGGTAAAGTTTTATTCAGATGCATCGTCACAGATGGGCGCAGGAAGCAAAGTGATCATCGTAAGCAGGTTCCAAGAGACAGCAAGGTTTGGAACTGTAAAGCCAATCATCCTCAGAAGCTTGTCAGATGCAGAGTTTTCTTACCTCTTCAAGGTACTCGCATTCGGAGGGACAGACCCAGAGAATCACCCACAACTTGAATCAATAGCTATGGAGCTAGCCATGACCCTGAATGGGTTGCTCCTCGTGGGTAATATGCTCGCTGACATGTTGAGGAAGAATCAAGACGTCCAATTCTGGTTTCATATATTGAAAAGGCTCAGGAAATCAATAGAGCATAATTTTTCCAGGTTTGGTGAGCATCCGAAACAACTTCTTGAGAGGGACCATCCGCTTAATATGACAATGCTGGTTCCGCCGCCTTCTGCTACACTTTGTGTCATGCCATCCCACGACGAAACTAGGTTACTGCCCAAGGTGAAGCTTGCAGACATTGTGCAAGGTTCAACTACTATTCTACCCAATGAGGAGTTTCAGATAATTACTAAGTTTGTCACAAACTGTATCGCTGAGGAGCGTCCTTGTACTTCCTCAGACAACAAAAGGCATAAGTCAGCATGTAACAGTACTAGTTGATCTGAACCTTGTTTATGTTTTCTTTTGGGTGTGTTAGCCTTATGGCTATGGGTTGTATCGTGATCAGCTATGTACTATCTTCGGACGGCAGAGACTGAAACTTTATTCCTTTATCTAAAAAAACTAGTGACATCTTTTTATTTGGATTGCATGGTCCTATTAAGTAAAATATATCAAGAACATCAGGATGTTTCAGTGTCTAAGTAATAGGTCCTGATTATGTATACTTAATTGAGTTTTGGGTAGATTCTTGTATGTTACACTTTGTTAGAATATGTGTCGAATATTATGTATAAATTTGGTTACGCTAGGACTCTGAGTTGGCAATATAAGGTAGAGTTGGTGTTGGACTTTGTAACCCAGTCTCCTCGTAAATATGAGAGGAGGGCTGCTGTTGTAACCATGATGACATAGCGACAGGTTCGCGGGAGGACGGCGGCACGTGTTGTCGGGACCCTGGAGCGGCCGGTGTTGCTGGTATTGGGGAGGAGCGCCCACAATCGTGCCCTGGGGATTAGGCTTCGGTTGAACCTCGTTAACAAATATCATACCTCTGGTGTCGTCTGTGATCTTGAATGTTCGTTTCGGTAGATTCAATCGATGCTTCTTCTCGTGGAGATTAACAAACAGCTTGTCGCTGTGGGAGGCTAATTTCTAACAATTGTTATCTAGAGCTATGGTTGGATTTAATCTAGAGGTTGTGCCGAAGATCACCTAGAGGTTCGAGGATTAGGCATCTACAAGGCGTCGTGCAACGTATGGTGATGCGAAGTGGATACGGCGCAAGGTGGAGCATGTTGTACGTGGCCGGAGGCTGTGCAGTATGTGTATGGTGACGGCGGGTCGACAGAAAGTCGACGGTAGCTAGGTTTTCTGGCCAAGTATCGTCGAGGAAGGCACAGATGCTAATGTCAAGGTCAAGTTTGCGTCCGCATGGCATGGCGCTGCTCAACATGGATGCAGAGGCATCAGGGCGATGCGCAGAGCGGAGGAGGCTTGCAGATGATCGTGGAGTCTGGCATGAGCCGACAGAAGCCCGATGAGTGGCGGATGCTGGGAGTCTTTCGATTAAGGATGAGCACGTACGGGTGGTACGTCGTGTTCCTGGATTGCGTATATTGTGGCCTAATTGGAGTCGTATACATGCATGACCATGGTCATGTTGCTGGAAAAGGAAAAGAAAACAAGGACGTGGCCATACAATGCAAGACATTGATAACGGAGTCCTGCCCACGGGCTGTACACGTCATGTAGACTGCACGGTCAAACACACGCGCGCACACACGACGCCTGCTCTATGACACGCCGCGCACGCCGCGCCTCTGCTAGTCGCTCTGCCGCGCCGTAGAGCAGTTTTCCCAGTAGAGGTTGCCGGCCTTGTACTTATATAAATATGAGCACACGAGATCAATACAGAGTTGAGGTTGATCCGTATCCTCGTTCATAGTATCAGATAGCGCTGCTTGATCCCCTGTCGCCAGCGCCCACCTCCGTCTCCGCTGCTCGCCATGGACACCAACCCGCTGTTCACCTTCGAGCACTCAATCCATGGCGGTTCCTCTCCTTCTCTTCCTCTGTCGCTTCCTTCACCGCCCCGTTCCATGACGGCGCGAACGCCGGGCGCCGCCGCCTCCACACCCTCCCTTCAAACAATCAACATCAAATCCTATGTCCCGGATCCTAACTACCAGGAGTAGCGGTGTTTCTTTGATTCCGTCGTCGGCAAGTTTGGTCTCCACTCTCACATCGCCGACACCCCAACCGCCGTTCAGCGTGCCGACCCGGATCATCCGTGTTCCCGGTCGACTAGTGCCTGGTCAACTGGATCTACAACACGGTGACGCGCGACGTCATGCGCATCATCCGTGTTCCCGGTGCCACCGTGCATGCCATCTGGGCCGCCGTCGTTGACCTCTTCCGTGATCACCAGCTGCGACCTCAGCATCAACGACTACACCGCCAAGCTGAAGGAGCTCGCTGACGCACTGCGCGATCTCGGGCAGCCGGTGCCTGAGCCATCCTAGGTCTTGAACATGCTACGCGGGCTGAACGGCAAGTACCGCCACACCATCACCTCCAAGCAACCACCACACACCTTCCTCTCCGCCCGCTCGTTTATGCTACTAGAGGAGCTCTATGAGAACCAGCATGGCAAGCTGGCTGCGCAGCACGCCATGATCGCCCAAGGTGGCCACCGCTCATCTCCCGCCACCGCCGCACCATCGCCTGGCGGCGCTCCTCCTCCTGGCGGTTAGGGATCCGGCAACAGCAACGGCCCTCCTCCGGCCTTCGGCGGCTTCAGCAACAATGCCGGTCACAGCGCCTACCCCAGCGGCAACCGATCCAAGCGCTGTCGCGGCCGTGGCGACGGGCAGAACATCAGCGCGCCTTCCTTCCCCAACATTGGATCATCGTCCACGGGACCATGACCCACCTTCCACAACACTCCTTGGGCCGCCGGCTTCAACCCTTTGGCAAGGCATAGTCCAGGCTTGGCCCATGCCTTTCCGCGCTCCAGCGGCCGGCGTTCTCGGCCCACGACCCCGCGCCCCTCGTCGCCAATTGGCCTCCTCTTCCTTCGCACACAGCCTACCAAGGGGCGTCTCCTACCTACGACCCCAACGCGTTGCTTGCAGCCCTGGCGAATGCCGGCGTTCCACCCACTGGCACCGGCACATCGGATTGGTTCCTGGACAAGGGCGCCTCATCTCACATGGCTTCGGCTCCCGGTAACCTCCACTCCATCCAACCCCCTTTCCTCCTCCGCCTCCGTCACCGTGAGCAACAGCGCTTCCTTGCCGGTCACCCACCTTGCCAATTCCTTTATCCCCACCTCCACTTCACCTGTCCCTTCGCAATGTTCTTGTGACACCTTCCTTGATCAAGAATTTGGTCTCTGTTCGATCACTAACCCATGACAATGCTGTGTCGGTTGAATTTGATCCTTATGGTTTCTCCATAAAGGATCTTCATACCCACCAAGTGAAGCTCCGATGTAATAGCACCGGTGATCTCTATCCACTGCAGCCACCGACGCACCAAGCTCTTCACGCCACCGCTGCCTCGGTCGATCTCTGGCACCAAGGACTGGGACACCCGGGTCGCGATCAGCTTGCTGCGGCTCTGCGCTCCTTCCCCTTCAGCTATACAAAATCAGCCGCCCACACTTGCCACGCCTGCCAGCTTGGGAAGCACGTTGGGCTGCCATTTAGATCTTCTTCATCAGTTAGCTATTTCCCTTTTCAGTTAGTTCATTCAGAGTTTGGACGTCTCCTGTACCTAGCATATCAGGAAACAAATATTACTTGGTGATCATCCATGACTATTCCCATTACGTCTGGACTTTTCCTTTGATGAACAAATCTGATGTGGTTCCTACTTCTCTTTCCTTCTACTCCTATGTCTATCGTCAATTCCAGTTCCCATTCTCGGTTTCCAAACTGACAAAGGCTGCGAGTTTGATAATTTTGCCCTCTGAAAATACTTCTAGGACAATGGCATTGTGTTCTGCCTCTCTTGCCCATATACTTCTGCGCAGAACGGCAAGGCGGAGAGCACACTGCGTACTCTCAACAATAGTGTTCATGCCATGCTCATTCACGCGCACGCGCCGCCCGCATTCTGGGTGGAGGCCCTCGCCACTTCTACCTATCTCCTTAACCGGTGCGCATGCAAGGCTACCGACACTGTCACACCACATGAGCTTCTCCTCGGCACGCCACCCTCCTACGACCATCTCCGCGTCTCAAGCTTAGTCCACGCTCTGTCGCGTGCGTGTTCTTAGGCTATCCAGCGGATCACAAGGGCTACCGCTGCTACAATCTGGAGACTCGCCGCGTCATCACTTCTCGGCACGTGGTGTTCGACGAGCTGCAGTTTCCCTTCCGAACACATGCTCCCTAATGAGGACCCAGTGATCATGGCTGGCTACCAGGCTACACTGCCACATGTGAACACTTGTCCCGGTGCTGCACCTGCCACGACGTCGGCTGCTACACCTTCGACGCCCCTGGCTTCTACGACAACTGCGCCACCGCATGCCTCCCAGCCACATACCGTGACACTGGCCATGCACTACGACACCACGCCGGCGGCTTCGACATCGACGTCTACTGCGCCACCGGCGCAGGACTCCCCTACCTCGACCTCCCCGGCGACGCCGACCTCACCGACGCCGCCACGACATCCCATGGTCACACGGGCCAGGGCCGGTATCTTCAAACCTAACCCACGGTATGCCATGACAACGACTGCAGGCGACTCCGTCAACATCACTCCGATCCCTAGCTCCGCAAGGGCGTCTCTACGGGACCCGAACTGGTGCAAGGCTATGCAACGCGAGTTCGACACGCTCCAGTCGAACCACACATGGCGCCTCGTTCCACGTCCACCGCGCGCCAACGTCGTCACCGGCAAGTGGGTCTTCAAGCACAAACTGCATCCCGACGGTAGCCTCGAGTGCTACAAAGCACGGTGGGTCGTTCGTGGCTTCACACAGCGCCCCCGCATCGACTTTGGCGAGACGTTCATGCCTGTGGTCAAGCCCGCGACGATCCGCACCGTACTCGCTTTGGTTGCCGGGCGACGCTGGCCGACGCGTCAGCTCGACGTCTCCAACGCCTTCCTTCACGGCCACGCCTCGACGAACGCGTGCTGTTCCAACAGCCCATCGGCTTCGTCGACGCGGCACAGCCGGATGCAGTCTGCCTCCTCTCCAAGTCCTTCTACGGTCTTTGGCAGGCACAGCGGGCCTGGTTCACGTGGATCGTAGTTTCCTCCGCGCCATCGGCTTCGTCGCGACGCGCTTCGATTTGTCTTTGTTCGTGCTTCACTGTGGCACGGCCATGGCGTATCTTCTTCTCTACGTCGACGACATGGTGCTGAGTGCGTCCACCGAGAACCTTCTCTGCCACATCGTCGCACGCCTACAATCAGAGTTTGCCGTGAAGGACATGGGGCCCCTCTGTTGCTTCCTCGGCGTCGACGTACAACGACACGAC